TCCTTATGCAGCAGTCTTAAAGGGTGCCACTATTATCTACGGAATAAACATTGCATTCCTTACTTAAACTTACATCAAAGTCTTACATATTTTGGTCCTAACCTACTTTTGCAGACTTGTGCACCATTATTCTTTTTAATTGCATCTGTATTCATCATTCTTAATACCCTGGGCACAGACACAGAGCTGGAAAAAGGAAAGTAGTTCAAAAGATCTCTTTTAGCTGTCTTTTTGTTTGATGGCACCCCTCCCCACTGCAAACCAGCTTGCTATATTTAGCTGACTGTGGTTTTACACATTTTGCTTGGAAATTGGTGGAGACCATTGCCTAACCAACATCTATTCTTCCTAAATAATAATTCCTATGTTATTGGAGGGGAAAATGTTCACCTTTAGCAGTATTTCTTAATTTTCTCATGTCATATATTCATATGATTTAGATATATCCATTTCTTAGTGTTATGTCCATATGATCAAGTAGAATTGCTGAGAGAGACTTCAGGAGAGACACCTTAAGGGCCCTGTTTGCCTTCCATCCTTTTCTTCTTGCTGTCTGGAAAGGAGTGGAGTTCTAGTAGCCAACTGGGACCATGATGTTACTTTGAAAATGGAAGCCAGGGCTGAGAATGGCAGAGAAGAATAAATAGAAAGGAGCTTGGGCCGTTGGTGACCTTGTGGAGCTATTATATCAACTCTGGGCTGTCTACTTCTAAAACTTAATTTTTTTAAACTACATTTCATTGAATCTTAAGGTACACAATTGTATATTACTAAGAAAAAGCCCAATACCAATTGAAGTGATACACTGATACACATATTCTTACTGCATCAACACAGATCATTCTAATTTCAGAAATTTTAAATTGTGAAAAAAATGGGCCTTAGAATAAAAAAAAATGTTATAAGAGATAACCCTTATGTTTTTAAGCCATCATTATTTTGGGCTTTTGGATACATTTCACATAGACTGTCTGCATGATAACTGATAAAACTAGTTTTTAATTTTCCTGCCTATCTACGTTTTGGACTTAAAACTCCTTGAGATTTCTAAGTCAACCTTCATAAGAAAGCTTTAAAAATATATTTAATTGAAGTGTGATTCTCATAATCAACATATACCTGCTTTAAGTATAAACTTTTTTTATGAGTTTTGACATGCAGATACCATTTAACTTCCACCATGATGAAGAGACGGGTATCCCATCACCCCTTATACACATCCCAGTCAGTTTGTTCCCCACCCAAGGCCGAAGCCACTGATGATCTACTTTCAGTCATTATAGTTTAAATTTACCTTTCCTAGAGCTTTATATAAATGAACTCATCCAATATTTACTCTGTTTTGTGTCCATCTTCTTTAAGCATACTGTTTGAGACTTATCTATGTCATTGTATCAGTAGTTTGTTTCCTTTTATTGTTGAGTAGCATTCCATTACATGAACATATCACAACTTATCTTTTCACCAGGTGGTAGATCTTAGGGTTGTTTCCAGTTTGGGGCTCTTGTGAATAAAGGTTTTATGGATATTTGTATACACAGGGAGTCATTTTTTGTTTCCCTACAGCCATGAGCCAATTCTGACCACCCATATCCTGCCCTGGTTTTAAGAATCCTATAGCTCTTGCTACCTACTCTTGCCCTTTGCTTATCTTTTGACCCTGATTATTAGAGCTAAGTCTGTCCTAAATAGGAATTATCAACTTTAGCCATTCTGCTTCTTTTAATCCACTTTCTAAACATGATCATAGAAAGAAAGAATTAAATATACTAGAATATAAGGATGCAGTTGCCCTAGGCATGGAAATATAAAATAGTAAGTACTATAGGCTTCCAAACTAGCTTTTTATGAGAGGTTGTGAGAAAAGAACTATAGCTTTAGAGGTAGGGAAAACTCCAGTGAGTTTTCATTTTGTTCCCCACTTGGAAAGTGAACATAACATTCACTTTGCAGAATGTGAGACTTGAAATTATGCATTCATTCAACAAATTTGTGTTGAAAACCTACATCTGCCAGGCCCTGTGTTATGCTCTGAGGATACAGCAATGAACAAAACAACAAAAATACCTGACCTCATGGAGCTTATATCTACCTGGGGGGACAAAACAACAAAAACAAAATAATCGAAGTTTGTGTTATGTTACATGGTAATAAGTGCCATGCAGAAAAACAGGGCAGGAAGGAATAGAAATAGCCATGATTGTAACCCCTCCTTGGCTGTGAGCTGCTTGAGAACTGGGTATGATCTTCATCCTGTATCATTAGCATTTCATCACAATGTCAACTGTATATTAAGTATTGCACACATGTTTCTTGAATGAAAGGAGTGACTGATAAAAAACTGTCAAGGAGAGAAGTTTATCTCATGAAATCATTGTAATACTGCTTACCTGAACACTTTTATGTGCTTCCAAACAGGTAATAATTATGTCAGGAAGAATGGTGCCCTTCCCTTCTTGTTCTTGCAGGTTCTGTAAGCCTCCTAGCCACTATTATATTTTTTCTTGGAAATCAGAATGCTTTTAATGTACCTTCTGAATAATAATATATCCTTGATTAAAAAAATTAAGTAGGTACATTTTTTTTCAGGCTTTTGCTGAAGTAACAAAACAATTTGACAAACAGTTCAATATGTCAGTATTTCTTACAGAGCTTTGGTATTCTACAGTGTCTGGAAAACTGGTATGCTACAAACATTAATATTGTGTTTGAGAATAATATTCAGTTTTAAGGAACAATGTGCTTAATAAGTGCTTAAATGGGGTAAAAACACCACCAAAACAGTAGTATGCAATGTCATCTCATACATATAAAATACAGCAAGTCTCAAGATACCCTCAAGTGATTTAACGGCACTACGATTCCTTCATGTTAAAATCTGAATTCCTGTTATTCAAGATTTGCTTAATCTAGTTGACAATGTACTTTTCCAGCCTAATGATATGATACACATCATCTTTACTCAAACTCAAATATACTATCTTCTGAACTGTTGATGCCTTCCTTCCATCTTTGTCTAAAGTCTTTCAAAATACCCAATTCAAACAAAAAAAAACTTCCTTTGAACTATCTCCGTATATGCTTATTTGATTTCTCAGACTGTTAGATAATTTTTTAAAAATTTAATGCGTAATTCATTTTTGTGTTTCTGTTCTCAGCGAGGACAGCCTTTGAATATGGTAAATACCTTTAAAAAATTCGTTGATTTAATTATTTTCACATCATTTGCTTAAATTTTTAACAATGAAGGTAAATCAATTGCCTGAAACTCTTCCTTTACCCTCCATTGTTTTTTTAAGCAGTTTTTAAAAAGTATTCTCTTCTATAAATGTGCCTGGTCATAAAAATTATTGCCATAATGTCACAATCCACTGGAAAAAGCAGCAACTAGCTGGTTGTTTTCAAATTCCAGTAATGCGTGTCATGTCTTATGCTTTAACTCCAATTGCTTGGATTCCGCGTCACCCCTCTCCTACCATGAGCTTATCCAATTACTAAGGTTGAAATGATGACAATTTTCTTTCTAAAATTCTAGTGCGCTTCATCTCTTAAATCATTCTATGTGTAGATTAGGTCCTTAGGAAAGCCTGTAATCCATCATCTAAGGAACTATATTTAGCGCTCAATTTATTTGGAAAAAAATGCGTGGCTGGGGAAATACGGGGGAGTAGGTTAGTGGCGAGTGGAACGCTGGGCCAGGTGCAAGACTTCTAGGGATGTTTTTATGGGTCTCTGACCAACTGTCTCCACGTAAAACTCCGTTTATTTGACTGCGCTACTGCATAACAGAGTAGTTAACTCCAGCGCCACTCAAATCAGCTTTGTACCGATTTAAAAATACTTGAGTTGGTAGCTCCTGATTTTTATCAAAAACCGACCCAGCTGGATCCAAGGCAGACTTGTCACCCTATTTGACTTTGGAGTTAAGCGCATAAATGAAGGCAAATGTAGAGAGACCTACAGCTTGGCAACTCTAACAAAGCTTTGTTAAAACTTGCCCCTCCAGCGTGAGGCGGCAGTGTTTGGCCGCCAGGAGCCAGCGCGGCCCTGGCGCGGGCGGCAGGGCGTAAAGCACCCCTGTCACGGTGGTACAGAAATAGTACAGCAGGAGTGGGAAGTCGCCCGGCCGTATTTTTGTAATGTGTGTGTGTGTATGTGTGTGTTTCCCGGCTGGCAGGCATTTAGACGGAAGGAGCAAGCAGGAGGCGCGGAGCCGCCCCGAGCAGCCGCCACGACTCTGCCGCGGGGTTCGGGCGTAGTTCTCCGGCCGCTTCCAGAACGCTCGGAGCCGCTTCTCCAGGCCCCGCCCAAGCCGGGGTTTCCCCGCCACCCGTTATTTGCATGGCGCGTCCCCTCCCCTGCTGCCATTGGCTGGCGCTGCGCCCCGCCCTCGGCCCCTCCACCTCAGGGTACGGTCCCGAGCTGCCCGGAGCTGCGGGCAGCAGGCGGACTGTTAAACCGCGGCGGCGGCAGCCGGGGCGAAGGTGGAGCGCGCTCTGACACGAGTCACCGGCGCCCCGGGTTGGGGGAGGCGGGCGGGCAGCTAAAGATCACCTCAGCAGCCCCCACCACGGCCGGACCGAAGGTGCGGCGGCGGAGGGGAGCCAGGGCGCCCCAGCAGGCGAGTGGCCGGCGTCTCAGCGGCGGGCTGAGCGGGGTGGGTCTCCTTTGCCGGGGACGGAGGCAGCGCGGGGAGGGGAGAGCAGAGAAGACTGCCGGGCGGACTTGCGGACCAGGCGGCCGACTGGCAGCCCCTTTGCCCCCCAAGTCCTCTGGGCTTTTGGACTGTGGTCCCGGCACAGGATCGCGCTCTAGGGAAGGGGTCGGACCGCAGCCAAATCTAAACGGCTAAACCCAACAGCCTTGGCCGAAGCTGAGGGAAGCGAAGAGAAGGGGTGGAGGGACGGGTGAGGGCGGTTCTTGGCGCGGTCACGTGGGTTCAGGGGCGGGGTTTGGCCTGTCTCCCCTTTGTTTTGGCTGGCGCGTGCGCAGAAGGCTGAACACGTGGCTCCTTAGGCTCGCCCCTTCCTCTGGTGGCCGCACCTTCCCGGGTGCGGTTGTGGCGAAGGCTTAGATTCGGGTGGCGTTGTGAGGCAGAGACGACCCTGCTAGACGTGACTTTGGTTTTGTTTATTTCATACTTTATTTTAGGCAAAGGTTGATTTGGCCTTTGGAATTAGGCTGGAGGGGAATCTAGGGAATTTTTCAGGAAATCTCAAGTTTGTGTCGGTTCTCGGTGTGCTGAAGGGGACCGACGTTACTGGAAAATTTGAGGATATGTGGTGTTTGGTAGCAAGAAATACAAGACCATGCTCTGGTCGTTAAGTAAACTACTGGAAAGTTAGCTTTACAACCAGGAGGGAAGACACGGGATGGACCTTCTAGCAATGTTTTTTACTTGGAGAGAAGTGTTTAGTGCGTTCCCGGCCCGCTCTGCCCGGAGCTGATCACTTCCCTCGGGCGGCCGTTCGGGGTTGGGGTTGTGAGGGGTTGATGTTTTCTTTTTTAAATGGGGGAAGCACATTCCTTACTGATTCCCCAAACTTAAGTCTGCAGGCGAGATTTAAGAGGATAGATTTCTTCTTCTTTTCCTTAAAGAGTTTGCTTAGCTTAATGCTGAGTTTCGGTCTGTAGGAATGTTTTTTAAATACTGACAGGATGGGGCAGGTTTGTGAGCAGCAAAATCCAAGTGAGGTATTTACCAGTATTGCAGGAAAAGCCGGCAGTGACAGGGAAAAAGTGGCTCTATAAATAATTCGATAATGAAGAAAAACCTGGTTTCTGGAATGTAGATTGCTTGAAACGGAGGCTTAGCAGTGAGCAGTCTCTGCTGTTTCCAATTCTTACTAGCCGCTTCCTTGGGCAAGTCACAACCTCTCTGATGTCAGTCTGCTTCCTTTTGTAAATAGTTTCATGATATTGTCCCTGCCTGAAGAGATTGTCAGGAGAATCAAATGCTTTGTGTTAGTAAAGTTATTTATAATCTTTACCAACACGACAAATAGAGAAATTGCCAAGTAGTAACGGTTTTGTAACAGCTTATTTTATAAGGTAACACACTTGGAAGAATATAAACAATGAATGAATCATTAAATAGGATATGTGTGAATATCTTCAGAATCTGTTCTATTTGAGTCTCCCGCAGTTTCCACCTATTTAGAGTATCAAGGTTGCTACCATTTCCTCATAGTTTTAGTTTACATTATCATTAGTTCTTTTTTCAAGCCCTTCTGGAGTAGTTTTGCACATGAAAATTTTTCCAAATGCAGGCCAGTTGTATCATACTGATTTTTTTACTTTTTGTGTGTGTGTGATACGTACTTTTTCAAATAATTGCTTCTTTTGTTAACTAGTCTTATAAAATAATTTGTAAAATAAAGACAAATGCACATAAGAATACAAAGAACTTGTATTTCTCTCTAAATATTTTCCTGTTCATATTTGTGTATTTTTCCTAAAACTGGGATCATGTGCTATTTTCATTTAACTTTACCTCAGAAACATTCCTATGTCATTGAATAGTCTTTGAAAAAATTAATGGCTGCTTAACATTGCATCATGCAGCTCGTACTGACAATTTTCCCTATTGGCAGATGTTTGAGATGTTTTTAATGTTTTCGTACTGTACATTTCACTACAAAGAGTAGTTTTACAAAACGGGGGGAAAAATTTTCGCCTCTTAGGTTTGTAAAAGAGGAATTACTAGGTTTGGGATTCTGGGGTTTGTGTGTGTGCGCACATGTTTTTCATAAGGCTTTTATCACCAAATTACCTTCCAGAATTTTGTATTGATTTATGTGAATCTATAGTGTATGAGTGTGCCTCACATTACATCTTACTTCATCATCTGATATTAGCATTAAAATGAAGAAACTTGCTTTAATTTGCATTTAAAGTATTTTTTACCCATGTCTGTTATATATCTATTTTATTTTCCTATAGAGGAATACATTTCATATTTGACATCCTGCAAATCACTTAGTGGGTATTTAGTAAATACTTGCCAGTTGGCTATTAATGTTTACTTTTTTGACCTTTAAAAGGTCAGGAAATTGTGTTCAGCTTTTTTCTGTTACTCAGTTTACCCAATACATTGTTGGCAACATACAATTATTGTTTGATTACTTTGAGTACTTCCACATTTAGGTGGGGGCTCACTGATCTTATCACAGTTGTCTTCTGAAAGGTCCAGTGACTCCCCATTGTCCCAACTGCTGCATTATCCAATAGCTCCATCCAGTTTTGATGCTATTTATCATGAAACCTGAAAACTTAGGCTATTCCCTTTGTACATTTCTCTGTCTTATGTGGAATTCACTTACAAATTTCACTTTGATCATTCTAGTTTCACTTGTAGCCTTTTTCTGTGTTAAGGGAAAAAAAACTGTCTTAAGTTCCTTTGTTTTAGTATTCAGTTTGTTTTTGATAGGCCACCTATTATTGCTATGACATCCTTTACTGCCTTTAACCTACTGCATAAACCTTGTGTGTCATATATGTAGTTTTTATTTTCATAACTTTATTCAGTTGTTTCTCTCCTGTCCTTTTACACTCAGACATGTTATTAGATAGTTAAAGGAGGCGGAAGATTTTAGGTTTACAATTGTGGTTAGGATTGTTTACCAGTTAGATTTGTCAAGTTGTAAAGTCAGAGGAATGGAGCTGCTTGCAAAAGTGACAGCTAATAGCGAATTAGCAGTCAAAATGTACTGACTTTAAAGTGTATCATGTCTTGGTTTGGGGGATCACGGGGAGAACAGTGTATCACAGAGAAAGGGACATAGTGGATCTCTGGCAACTTGCTGCACTGATGAACAGTGACTGCATTGGGCTATGGGTGGGGACTTGATAATATGGGAAAATGTAGTAACCACATTGTTTTTTATGTCAAACCTTCATAAGAGTGTATATCAGTCATACCTTAATAAAAAATAAAATAAAATAAAGTGTATCATGTCTTATACCTCTGTCCTTCAAAGTCCTTACTCCATTATAGAGGAGTAAAATGGAATACTGTAAATAATGACGGCCCTGTGTCATTAGTACAATCTTTGCATTCTTTTCAGTTTGTTTGATTTGAAAAGGCAAGAAAGGTGTATAATTCCCAAAAGATTTCTGTTTTTTTCCTTTAAATGTCCTGAAGAGAGATTTCACTAAACTGTGCTCATTTGTCCATGTAGGTTAAACATCCAATAAATGTTGACAAAAATGGTAATATTTTATTTGGCTATTGATAGTCTTATGATGGAAATCTGAAGACAGTTCAGAATGAAAGTTTTTTAATACTTGATAATATTTTAGGCTTTCAGATAACACTTTGTTTATATATGGATGTGACAGTTCTCTATTGCAGAATTGGGAGAAAATGCATTCTTTTATAATATCAAGGCTTTGTTAGTATTTTTGATGAACTTTTCATGTTTGTTACCAGTCCTATAAGACCAGGAATTCTCAAGCATGTTTTATAAAGTAATGAAAAATTTCTTTATTTGTTAGTAGATCCTTAAACAGTGTTTAACTACAGAATTTAAATTAGAGCCAAAATGTATAGACTAAGCAAATTTAATAGTACATTTCGAAATGTAAATTTCTGGATCCAAGTTGATGTACACACTCTTCATTTATATTCCTATGAGTCATGCACTTATCACTGAATAGTAATAATTCTGCTTGAAGTATGATCTGTTTGATGTGTTATGTGGCCACCCAAGTGACTTTATCTTTAATTAAATTCCTTTACTCTTCAAAGAGAATTCCTTTTTTAGGCATAGTTTTCAGAGTGAAATAAGTTCTTGCTGTAAACATTATTGAATACCAAGTACTGGGCTAACTGTGCCCTGGTCATGCCAATTACTGCAATGTTTTCTGCTGTAAACTGAGAATGCTGGAATGTGGCATGAAGAAGTCTTGAAAACGTGACATACTTGTCTTCGATACTTTTCCTTAATTCCCATTCTTTTTGAGAGAGAAAATTATACCAATGAACTTTTTGTCATTACTTTTATTGTCTTATTGGATTAGAAATTGTGAGTCCTCTTATATTTCAGTAATGTTTGAAAGAGCTTCTCATATTTTGCTAAATTTGTTTTTTTTCCCTTACTCCTCTGACTGTTAGAATCAGCTATCTGAAGCACATTTAAGTTTTAACTATGGAAATAATTTGTCTTCAGGGTTCTCCCCTCTCAAAATTCTGTTGGTAGTCTTTTTCTTTTAAGTATGAATCTGCCTTCTTTTTGATAATTTTATTCTGTTTTTTTGTTACTACATTTAAGAGAATTGGTATTATCCAGATTGCTGTTGAAAGAGTATGTTTAATGTTCAGGGGTAGATTTGGGTAGGATATTTTCCATGACCTATATGGAATATTACATACATGCTAGAATGTAAGTCATAGTCAAAATCTGGGGCAGTGTTTTAGGGGATGAAAATTCAGATTTGGTCTTCAATTTTTAATGTTCATTCTCAGGAGGAAGGGTGGTTCTTATCTAGATTGTCTATAAATTATCAGTTTCAACTCTGAAGATAGACTAGATTAGCAAAGTTTTTATTTTCTTTAGAATGTATACCAAAAATTATTTGCTGTATGTGACTTATGTATTTGTAAAGACCTGATTACAAAGTATCAGGATCAAGGATCAACTCAGTGATTACTGGCATTGTACTGTCTAGGTACATGCAGCTTTTGTGGGATGACATGGTGTTATTTACTGTATCTCATGAGTCCAAGCAATCAGATTGCATTTAATTAATGCTAAATTTATAAGTGTATATGATTTGTAAAACTTAAAAATAAAGATTAAGTCACAATGGAAATGCTTTGTAGACAATAACTTTTTATCTGTAGTAATACAGTATCAGAACAACTGCTTTCTTCCTGAATTCATCACAGCTGTTCTTTGGAGTAAATTGTAGACCAAAAATTAGAATGTGTGGTATAGAGTTAACTTCACAATTCCCCCCATTTTATTTTCTGAATTAATTTGATTTTATTTATAATAAGGAAACAATATAACCGAAAAATAATGTTTTGATTCTTTATCATTTTAAAATGTTTATTTACAGGCATATACTTTGGCTTGTCTTACTGAAATTTTCTCTCTGGTTGGTGTTATTTATTAGACTGCTAAGAAAAATGAATATATTATTGAGATCTGGGCTGTCTGCTGTAGGGTTATTTACTTGGTGGTTTATTTGTTAACAGTTTTATAACAGATTGGTTTTTATTTTATTTTATTGCCACCCACCAAATTCTGGGCTGCAGATGTGTTAAGGAATTATTATTATTTCTTTAAGTTAAACTGGAATGTAAGTTGAAATCTCTGTTGTAAAAACGTGAAAGTGAAATTCATGCCCAGTGGATTTTTGGATTATTTAGAACAGTTGCCTCTTGACAGATAATCAGATTAATTATCTAGTTTTCTTTGTAAGGGTCTGGTATGGTTTCTTAACTTGCAGTTTTGCTTTTTACATCCTGTGAGTTTATTATTTAGTTTCTGCATATGTGGCCAAAAGTTTAGTTTCTTCTCAGTTTTATCACTTCCAGGTTCTTTGAAGGTTTATTACCATTAGACTAGGTAGGGTCTTTTATAGAAGGAATTTAATTGTGCCGAGTCTTCTGTATATTGAAATTATCAAAGATGATGGTGGTTCCTGTAATAGAGTACACTATTTTGGTAGCTGGAAAGAAATTTCTTAGATTTAGCTAAGATCTAAATACTTTTTTCCCCCACACACAATTATGTGCATAATTAGAAACTGAATAATTAGAAGCCAGAATAATTCGAAGCTGAATGTTCTAGATGCTTCTTAGAAAACTCTTTGAGGATTTGCCTTTTCCATATTCTTTCTGTGTAATCTAAAAATAATAATATGTTTAGCTAAGAACTTTACAGACTGAAATATTTTAATTAATGGTGATTCCTTTTTACTTAGGGTGATCATATACTTTGTATGGTCCAGTAAAATAGTGCTTAACCACATTACTACTGAGCACCTGAAACATGGCTAGTACAAACTGAGTTTATACTAAGTGCAAAATAAACACTGGATTT